CGATATGTACAAGAGAGGAGGAATACAAAAATCTCTCCTTAAAATTCTTAATTCAACCATTACATAACTTTCAGAACGATATGTACAAGAGAGGAGGAATACAAAAATGTCTGCTAAAATTCTCAATTCAACCATTACGTAACTTTCAGAACGATATGTACAAGAGAGGAGGAATACAAAAATCTCTCCTAAAATTCTCAATTCAACCATTACATAACTTTCAGAACGATATGTACAAGAGAGGAGGAATACAAAAATGTCTGCTAAAATTCTCAATTCAACCATTACATAACTTTCAGAACGATATGTACAAGAGAGGAGGAATACAAAAATCTCTCCTAAAATTCTCAATTCAACCATTACATAACTTTCAGAACGATATGTACAAGAGAGCAGGAATACAAAAATCTCTGCTAAAATCCTCAATTCAACCATTACATAACTTTCAGAACGATATGTATTAAGCAGAAGAGACACCACATAAATCTAAGCTGGCAATAACCAGATTTCTCACACTTATGGTTTTATCAACTAACATGTTAAGGTAAGTGATAATGGTATCTTAATAACTAACTTCATTGAATCATAAATGCACATATTGTAAAAGACGGTAAAAGCCAGTTTAGATAGTTAAAAGTTTAAAACAATTCTGTTAAAAAAAAGGTATGATATTTTATATTCTCACGTTTTATCATTAGCTTAAGTATGAACATACATTTTCTTTAATTTTTCGAACTTTTAATACAAATATTATAGGCATCTTTTTTGAAATTCAAAAGTGGAATACATCATCAATTTTATAAAGCAGCGGACGTACTCATAAATCTTTAAAGAAGCTTGCGCCATCTATCAAAGAATGACATTTACGCTCATACACAGAGATTTATTAACTGTTGTTTACTCCATATGTTGAAGGTACCCCGACGCTTTTTACTATCCTGTCAAAAAAAAATTAATTGAACTCGACAAAAATATTATTCACGAATAATAACTATACAATTTTTACATCAGAATTTTGCTGACAGTATAGCGAAAAACGAATCATTAAGGGACAGTTTCCCCGGTTTATCTTTACATGGTCTTATCATGCATAAGAATTTATTTATCACGGTTATAAAGGAAGATAAATTACGAAGTTGAAAAAAAAAGGTACTGCATAGTATACATAACGTGTTTCTAGAAAAGTTTGAGGTAATAACTTAACAAACACACAATATATTCTTTCAACAAAACATGTTAGATAAATGTATGCTATAAAGGGTAGCACTTTTTTGTTAATGGTTTTCATAATATATAACCTGCATTTTATTGTTGTTGTTGTTGTTGTACATTGTATTTAACATTATTCTGCCATGTCCTTTAAAATATAGCCATTTGGTGTTTCTTCAGAAGGTAATGTGTTCTTCTTGTTGTTTGGTGTGTGTACTTGAAATGTAATATTTTGCGTAATAATGGTATATTTAGATTTCTTTTCATTTGCAATTATAATGAATAGAAAACTTTTACATTAATTAAGAGCTATTTCCTTTTTAGCTGGTTTCCATGGAAACTACGACGTTCAGAATTAACTGCTGAATGATCAAAAATTATGAATGTGGACTTTTAGAAATTAAAAACAATGAAATTTCGTTTACTTTCACAGTTAGTTGTACTTAAAGATTCTGTGAAAAGTAAACTTTGTAAAGCCAATTGTAACGAATCAGACCTTGATCAGAATGAGTTAATTAATGCGATAAAAAACTCGTTTGTGTAACTAATTTTAGTAATAATTATACTTGTAACAATATTCAAAAATTCTAATAAATCCATAAACGTTTATCGTTTATGTACCCAAGGAAATAGCGCATGAACCTACGTATTATATGTTAACATGAAGTATTAGAACGAAAAACTTTTTATAGCCAGTAGTGGCTTGCCTGTATTGAATTTACATTTGAACCTCATGATATATGAACCTGTTTCTACTGAACTTGCATTTGAACCTCATGGTATATGAACTTGTTTCTATTGAACTTACATTTGAACCTCATGGTATATGAGCTTGTTTCTATTGAATATGCATTGAACCTCATGGTATATGAACTTGTTTCTATTGAATTTGCATTTGAACCTCATGGTATATGAACTTGTTTCTATTGAACTTACATTTGAACCTCATGGTATATGAACTTGTTTCTATTGAATTTGCATTTGAACCTCATGGTATATGAGCTTGTTTCTATTTAATTTACATTTGAACCTCATGGTACATTACTGTGTTGAGTTGATGAATGTCAGAAACGTCCACGAACAGACAGACAGACAGAAGCATGAAGAAAGGAGTTCACTGAAATTCGAAAAGGAATCACTCTTGAATGCACTCTTGATGGTATAAGTGTCCGTGGAATTCCAGCCCGCATATTTATCCTCAGGACTACTGCGTGTGAGGTGCTGAAAAGATGGAAGAACAGTGAACGGATTTGTAGAATATCAGCCTGGCTACACAAAATGAATCACCTTTTGACGCATTTGGATACACGTTGTAAAATATAACTACAGATATGAGAGTACAGTAATTACTTAAGACTTGGAGTTCAAGATCGCAAGCCAGTACATCCAGTGTACGACAACATGCTTCATATTGATGAATTTTATGGACAACCTATAACTCATAAATTGCTCGTCAAGGTGTCTTAAGCATCAAAGTTGGGAGGAAGATTATTGGACGAAATGTTGTATGAAGAGATAAATTCCGTTTGTTATTGGTTACTTTCGAATGACGTGTCTGAAAATTATTAGTATCCCGGAGACTGCTTTGTATATCACTGTGCCATTCCAACCATGCAGGTAGTATTATGAATAGTCCTTGCTTATTTGGTTCAGGTCTGAGCCACTGGTAATAGTTGTGATACCGTGGATAATGCAGCACAACGTGATTTAAGAACAATCTGTAGGGACGCATTATATCTTCATTAGCATTATATTGGCTATGCCATACTACGCGATGCGCTCAACACTGGACTGAGAATAATAGCTCTCAAATCCTGTCTTCTCCAGCTCCGAACCTGAATCAACTTTAATTATTCTGAGACAGATCCTAAATTTCAACTACACTTAAAGCTGCTCTGCAAGGGAACAGGTAATCTATTCTATGAAATGCTTATTAAGTGTTGGTTATAAGTTTAGTTCAGGCAATGGTTGACACCAAAGGTGGGCTTACTTCATATTGAAATGGGGCCCTGATGCTGAAAAAATGATCATTAAAGTGTGGTATTTCAGTATTCTGGGTAACAAAGAGCAACAAGTTAGTTTTAAAATGAACAGGAGACGAATGGAGTAAGACAACGTGTGTTAGGTATCATTTGAGTTTAGATGAATCATTTGTTTACAAATATAAACTCCCAGCACAGGCAAAGGTTGGAACCCTTCCTTCTATATTTGTCTTTTAGTTTTCTCAAACCAAAAATGTTTATGTCGATAAACAGTTCTGGAGAATATTCTTAATAAA